CAGTAGTCGGGTGTACCAGTAGCCAGATGCACCCGTAGCCGGGTGTACCAGTAGCCAGATGCACCAGTAGCCGGTTGTACTAGTAGCAAGATGCACCAGTAGCCTTGAGTACCAGTAGCCAGATGCACCAGTAGCCGGGTGTACCAGTAGCCAGATGCACCAGTAGTCGGGTGTACCAGTAGCCAGATGCACCCGTAGCCGGGTTTACCAGTAGCCATATGCACCTGTAGCTGGGTGTACCAGTAGCCAGATGCACCAGTAGCCAGATTCACCTGTAGCCGGGTGTACCAGTAGCCATATGCACCAGTAGCCGGGTGTACCAGTAGCCGGATGCACCAGTAGGCTTGTGTTCCAGTAGCCAGATGCACCAGTAGCCTTGAGTATCAGTAGCCAGATGCACCAGTAGCCGGTTGTACCAGTAGCCAGATTCACCCGTAGCCGGGTTTACCAGTAGCCATATGCACCTGTAGCCGGGTGTACCAGTAGCCATATGCACCAGTAGTCACATGCACCAGATGCACGGATGCATCAGTAGCCAGATGCACCTGTACCCGGGTGTACCAGTAGCCAGATGCACATGTAGCCTGGTGTACCAGTAGCCAGATGCATCAGTAGCCGGGTGTACCAGTAGCCGGATGCACCAGAAGCCAGATACACCAGTAGCCGGTGTACCAGTAGCCCCATGCACCAGTAGTCACATGCACCAGATGCACGGATGCATCAGTAGCCAGATGCACCTGTACCCGGGTGTACCAGTAGCCAGATGCACCAGTAGCGTGGTGTACCAGTAGCCTGATGCACCAGTAGCTGGGTGTACCAGTAGCCAGATTCACCAGTAGCCGGGTGTACCAGTAGCCATATGCACCAGTAGCGGGCTGTACCAGTAGCCAGATGCACCTGTAGCCTGGTGTACCAGTAGCAAGATGCACCAGTAGTCGGGTGTACCAGTAGCCATATGCATCAGTAGCCGGATGCATCAGTAGCCAGATGCACCTGTAGCCTGGTGTACCAGTAGCCAGATGCACCAGTAGTCGGGTGTACTAGTAGCCAGATGCACCAGTAGCCGGCTGTACATGTAGCCAGATGCACCTGTAGCCTGGTGTACCAGTAGCAAGATGCACCAGTAGTCGGGTGTACCAGTAGCCATATGCACCAGTAGCCGGCTGTACATGTAGCCATATGCACCAGTAGCTGGGTGTACCAGTAGCCAGATGCACCTGTAGCCGGATGCATCAGTAGCCAGATGCACCTGTACCCAGGTGTACCAGTAGCCAGATGCACATGTAGCCTGGTGTACCAGTAGCCAGATGCACCAGTAGCCGGCTGTACTAGTAGCCATATGCACCAGTAGCCGGCTGTACCAGTAGCCAGATGCACATGTAGCCTGGTGTACCAGTATCCGGGTGTACCAGTAGCCATATGCACCAGTAGCCAGATGCACCAGTAGCCGATGTACTAGTAGCCAGATGCTGCAGTAGCCTGGTGTACCAGTAGCCGGGTGTACCAGTAGCACGGATGCACCAGTAGCCAGATGCACGGATGCACCAGTATCCGGGTGTACCAGTAGCCGGATGCACCAATAGCCGGGTGTACCAGTAGCCGGATGCACCAGTAGCCGGATGTATTTCTCCAAACATAAATGGCTCAACGCCCACAGTTGGAGACAACCTGGTCTTCCGTGAAATACAAAAAAACACAAATCATTCTCATGTTCGCCATCTGTTACGTAATTGAATGACGACCAGAAACATATTTCCAGTTGGAGGCTTACTTTCCTATTTCTTATACCTGACCAGAAAATACGACAAAACAATCAGAACGCGCGTAAATGAGCGCGGTACTTTGATAAAAATAATCCCGAGTATTCAAATCGTTTATGGCATCATGTCATTGTTTAAAAAATCATGAAAAATATATATCGTCATATTGAAAGTACAAAGAACGTAGCTAAAAGGATTTTGCTGCCTATTATGAAGTTTTTAATGAGAATCATGCGAATGACGGTGAGAGATTCAAATACACGCACGTGCGTTTGTTGACATAACTGCTCTCATGGGTCCAACTGAGTGTATTTCTGACGATCTTGTGGGCTTGTTATGGAGATTGTACATGCGTTTCGACCAATTTTAGGAAATGTAATTATAATCGCTACCAGTTTCAAAACAATAATATCGTATTTGTATGTAACTAATCAACCTTAATCTTTAAAATTGGGCTTATATTTCATATCTCTGGGGATATTTTAGTCTGACTGTTTTTTGGTCATTCATATTTTTTCAGCGAATTCATTTAAAATTCCACCAGGGGTGTGACAGCAAGGTTACACGAATGTTCAGTTTGAGAAATGTACATGTGCTTCGGTGATTTTTAGAAACATTGGAATCAAACAGGGATAGAGTTATCGTTCTTGTTTAAAGTAGTTCTGATGTTCATGCGCCAATATGAATCCTTCCAGAGGGGCACGAGTCGCTATTCGGCTTGTCCCGGAATAACACGAGTTGGTGACGATATAATAGTCATTGGCGTATAGAGTGAACAGATCTGGTGACATAGCACAACCTTGCGGCGCTCCTGCCCCTTCCGTGAGGATCAGGAGGCTGACAGGTGGTATGAGGAGGAGATTGCTAGGTGTTATCGTGTAAGACACGCAAAATGACATTTTAAATGTTCACATTCACCACTAAATTCAACATCAAACATTCCAGGACCATACTTGTACAGACATGGCTTTGTATGAGAATCAGAATGGTGTTTTTATAAATGCAAAATCATCATCATAACATCAACATGGGTTCCAATCATTTTGTCGTTTTTTTATGAGTCAAAGGATGATACAGGTCAGAAAAACTCATGTTTTTTCCATCGTTGTTACCAAGAGAGGTTTTATGAACGTGTTGAAAACCTATCATTGCAAAAATACAGGGGTGCTTAATTAAGTTATTTATGTATATTTCGCCGCATTTACTTGGAATGTTACGAACGTTTTACTTGAGAGTGATTATTACATCACGCCATACCAGAAATCTTGAAGCTAATCAAGGTCTGGTCCATAAGATTAACTGGGTAAACATGGATGTCACTTCATCTTGCAAATAGTTCCCTGAACTGTTGAGAACTGTTCAGTTGCACATTGAGTCGATGTTACTCTCACGCACGCACGCACTCCAACCCACACGTGAAAATAACAATTAACCCTAGTCAACAATTACAGTCAAATGACGTCAACATCATGAGAGCTATATATGTATTGTTCAATTATATGAAAGTTATACCCCAATATTACACCGGCCTGTAGTGAAAATAAGACTGAGCACAATTACAATTCTATCACATTGGTCTGTAGTCAACAGTAATACAGTTCTATCACATTGGTCTGTAGTCAACAGTTATACAGTTCTATCACATTGTTCTGTAGTCAACAGTAATACAATTCTATCACACTGGTCTGTAGTCAACAGTAATACAGTTCTATCACATTGGTCTGTAGTCAACAGTAATACAGTTCTATCACATTTGTCTGTAGTCAACAGTTATACAGTTCTATCACATTGGTCTGTAGTCAACAGTTATACAGTTATATCACATTGGTCTGTAGTCAACAGTAATACAGTTCTATCACATTGGTCTGTAGTCAACAGTAATACAGTTCTATCACATTGGTCTGTAGTCAACAGTAATACAGTTCTATCACATTGGTCTGTAGTCAACAGTTATACAGTTCTATCACATTGATCTGTAGTCAACAGTTATACAGTTATATCACATTGGTCTGTAGTCAACAGTAATACAGTTCTATCACATTGGTCTGTAGTCAACAGTAATACATTTCTATTGCATTGGTCTGTTGTCAACAGTATTACAGTTCTATCACATTGGTCTGTTGTTAACAGTAATACATTTCTATTGCATTGGTCTGTTGTCAACAGTATTACAGTTCTATCACATTGGTCTGTTGTTAACAGTAATACAGTTCTATTGCATTGGTCTATAGTCAACAGTATTACAGTTATATCACACTGGTCTGTAGTCAAAAGTATTACGGTTATATCACATTGGTCTGTAGTCAACAGTCTTACAGTTATATCACACTGGTCTGCAGTCAACAGTATTACAGTTCTATCACATTGGTCTGTAGTCAACAGTTATACAGTTCTATCACATTGATCTGTAGTCAACAGTTATACAGTTATATCACATTGGTCTGTAGTCAACAGTAATACAGTTCTATCACATTGGTCTGTTGTCAACAGTATTACAGTTCTATCACATTGGTCTGTAGTCAACAGTAATACAGTTCTATCACACTGGTCTGTAGTCAAAAGTATTACGGTTATATCACATTGGTCTGTAGTCAACAGTATTACAGTTATATCACACTGGTCTGCAGTCAACAGTATTACAGTTCTATCGCATTGGTCTGTAGTCAACAGTAATGCCGTTATATCACACTGGCCTGTAGTCAACAATATTACAGTTCTATCACATTGGTCTGTAGTCAACAGTAATACAGTTCTATCACATTGGTCTGTCGTCAACAGTAATACCGTTATATCACAGTAATACAGTTCTATCACATTGGTCTGTAGTCAACAGTAATACAGTTCTATCACATTGGTCTGTAGTCAACAGTAATACAGTTCTATCACACTGGTCTGTAGTCAACAGTATTACAGTTATATCACATTGGTCTGTCGCAGCAGTTATGACTGGTCACATGAGGTGTGGAATTCCCCTCCATGACAAAGAATAATCACCCTGGACATCCAGCCAGCCGTGAAATTCTATCGCAGGTGTGTCAGCCTCCCCGCGGGAACGCCGCAGTGATTACAGGTAACTCAAACTGACCGGACCATGAACTATCGTCTCTCCAAAATTGGAAGGCGTGTGTTTGTACTGACGCCGCATCACCTGTCGATCCACTCCAGCCAGGGTTGACTGTGCTTGGTTTTCACAAACAGGTTGAGCAGTACTTGTATTCGTAAACGTATTCGTAAACATAAATTTGCCACGCGGTGAGGGGAGGTAATATGAAGCTTGAAGCAGTGGTAGACACTCGATACGATCTGCCACTACACAGAAGATACAGTGTTCAAGGTAAGTCGCTCTCTCCCTATGACTGTCCTATACGAATTAAAATGCTCTAGATATTTTCTGATTCTTCGGAGACGTTTATCATGGGCATTCAGAACTGCACATCTGCTGGGTTGAACACTGCTCTCCGACTGTTAGATGAACTCGGACAAACAGATGGGGTAAGGGGTGTATTAAGGCGTATTTTGTTCCAGTTGTGTATGAACCCATCAGCTAGGTTCGTGTCGTGCAGATTCAAATATATGCAGGTGTGTACGAGAATACTACCCCATGAAGCTGTGATAGGCCAGTTGAACACAAACAATCAGTTCTTAAACCTCTTCCGAGTATTGTCCCTTGTTTAGGTCATCCTGACTTCATTGTTCACGTCGTTCGAAATCTTATTGTGACGTATGGTCGAAATGACATCACACTAGAGATGACGTCATAGTCGAAGATTGTTCATGTAATTCGACAACTGTCTTTACATAAATCAGCGGGCGTGATCGGAATACTTTTTAAAAGGACCTCAAAGGGATTTCAAATATTGAGTGAAGAAATGATTACATTCACGTGTATGTGAAAAATAACAATAATTCTGTCGTAAAGTAATTATGACACATATGATCATATAGTAACATCTAAATACGCGTTTAAACCGTTTCACAAAACCGGCGTTTACTTATTTTATTAAGCTTTTAGTAGTATTATCGTAGTATTCGTTATATTATTGGAACATTTACAGTATATAAAGATAACGAGTTGTAATTATAGGCTAAAGGTTATATGTTCCGCAAGGATCTGAGAACGCACAATAAAGGCTAACTGATCCGTAGATTGGCGTGATTTTGTCTCGCACTTTGACTATACCTTTGTGAAGCGCTTGACGCCAGACTACCGTACTGTGTTCATTCTGAACGTCACATGCCTTAAGCGTGATAGATAATGAATAAATATAGTGTAGGTACCATGCCGGGATCAATAAATCACTGTGAATGTATCAGTCATGCGAAAAACCCATTCAGACGCGAAAGAGGTATTCCTTCCCAATAGCTTCAAGTTCCAAGGAAGAGCGATACAGGAATGTTTCATGTCAGTCCGTCTCAGTCCTTGGAACACGTTAGTTTTTCTTCCTCCAAGTCTTTTCTGCAATGTAAAGGCCCAAAATGAAGCAAGATTAGATTTCAGCCCCGAATCTCCCATCTCACTGGGTCTCCTTTTCAATTTAAATGGAATAATATGTTTCGGTCAATCTGATATGTAGTCACAGACTAAGCATTAGCCTCGCCCCGTGTATGCTTTTAAGTCGACTTGACCTCGAGTCCGAGGTGTATGTGAGGTGAGATTGGGTTTAACGTCGTGCTTGAGAATATTTCGCTCATATGACGACGTGCATGCGTGTGTGTGTATGTGTGGCTGCTTGTACTAGCCCAGACTGAAGCTGTTTTATAGTGCTAGCTCACTGAGATACCATGTCGCAGTGAAGCATGAATACCCCACTCAGACACATTATACTGACTTCGAGCCGACCAGTTCTTGTTGTACCCATTAATGCCGAGCGCCAGGCAGGGACCAACAAGTACCATATTTTAACGTCTTTTGGTATGACGCGGTCGGGGATCGAACCCGCGACCTTCCGCTCTCCGGGCGGACACTCTAACCACTACACCACGGAGGCGGTCCTGTTATACATGAGGTCTGTTGTACTGTGTCAGTGTGTGGAAGGCGGATGTGCGCAGAAAGTGCAAATTTCAGCCAGGTAATTGTATAAGTGAACTGTCAGCAGTAGACAGTATATGCTTGAAACCCGGATTTGACCAAACAATCACAAGGTAATGTAAGTTGAACACATTATCAGACACACAGCAAACTTCAAGGACCAAGCACAACTGAATAACAGTACCGCAAATATTTCGGCAATACAAATCAATCTAAGTTCACTATGTACTTACCAATTTTCATTTATGTTTATGTAATACTATAGCATGCATATTTTAATACCATGCTCTACGTGCACAGAGAAAGACGTCATGTCACATGCAGAGGCTATTAAGTTTTCTGCTTGCTGCTTAACGCCGCACTATTCCAGCTACATGGCGGAAGTCTGTAAATAATCGAGTCTGATCTAAATCCATATTTTTCATTTGATGTGTGGTATATATGTTTGCGAGTGATATGTGCATTTGATAGCTATATTTATTTGCTTCCCACTGTTCTCACTTGTGATTATATTTATACCTGTCACTAACATCCCACAGCGTGTCCAGAGATTACCATTATAATCACATCTCAACACCATGTATTAATAACCCATTTACGTCTATTTTAGGACAAGAAGCCCCTCAGAAGCCAAGCGGATCTGTCACTGCTGCAGGCTGCTGCTGATTGTGTACAGGACGAGCACTGACACTGATAAGAGTACGGGACAACTGATTGATGTAGATGTAGATCGGGACGTCGGTGGCAGACGACGTAATCAACACCCATTGTAGCGAAAGGCGATCACTCAGTCGTTCAACGCTCATTGAGTGAGACACGTAACTGATCAAGACGACACGGGTCATTCATTAACAGAGCACTCGGTGTCACCAGGTGTGGACGTAGTCTGCTATTGAAATTGTTCTATTTTCATATTACGTGAACTCGTCTGACAACCGTATGAATAAGCAGACGACAGTTAAATCAGCAGGTGTGTCCAGGTCTACTTTAGTTCATACCCACTTCCGTGAAGCGTACACAGTACAAGTTCCGTAAGCATTACGGACTGAGAACGAAACTATTTCATCTCTAAAGCAGAGGGAGATTCGTTAGCACCGACTAAGCTCTTTGAGTGGAGGATTTGCTTGTATTCTGTACAGCGTGTTTGGTTTGGAGCAGACGGCTACATAACCTCCCAATGGAAGCGGCTGGTGGATCACCCCACGTGCTACAGGTAGCGGCAGACGACTCGCGTATTTCCTATTCAGAACAGCTGAGCGGTTTCGTGGAACAGTACGCATTTAACAGTAAGGTTAGCATGGAGGCCAACGTGGATGAAACAAGCAAATGTGCACGCATTTCGCCCAAACTTGTCTGCACATCGTGTACCCAAAGGTTCGTGAATCCACGGATTCTCCCGTGTCTTCATACGTTTTGTTCCGAGTGTATCTCCGGATTACGAACGTACCCCATTAACTGCCCTGATTTGAATGATTCGGGTGAAAGGGAGGAGCTATCAAGCGCGAAGGTGTTGTCGTCTGCTGCGAGTTTAGATCAGCCGTCTTTCGATTCAGCAGACGGTAGAACAGACGATACTTACTATCACAAGAAACGAATGATTTTGTGCCCCGATTGTCTAAGAGAAGTTGAAATTGCAACGGACGTCAGTGAATTACCTCGGAATCATGTGGTTGAAAGAAAGTTGGCTGAGGATTGCTTGCAGAACATAAACAACAACATACCCCAGTTCTGTGATTCCTGTGTCGATCTCACAGAAGGGTCGGTGGTACGAGTGCGGTGTGTGGAGTGCTCCGAAAGTCTGTGCTCCTACTGCGAACAGGCCCACCGACGACAGCGACGAACCAAGAGTCATCGCCTCGTCAGCGTGAACGAATCCGCAAATGCGGACGGGAAGAGAAAAAGTATTCATCGTCAAATATTTTGTCCCAAACATACATCTGAAGAACTGAAACTGTTTTGCTCAAGCTGTGACGAGGTCGTATGCCGGGACTGTGTAGTTCTCGACCACAGGGATCACCAGTGTCAGTTTGTGTCGCCAGAACTCTTTCGTACGGAGATGGACTCGCTGCAGCTTCTCATCAAAAACGTCGTTCCCAAAGTCAATGCTGTTGAAGCGCGTCTTAAAACTGTCTCTACTCTAAAAGACAAGATTCGGACGCGAGCGAAACAGGTGGAATCTGAGATTAACAAGTTCATGGACAATTACATCCAAGCTATCGAGAAACACAGACAGGCATTGATTGGTCAGATAGACTCACTGGTCAGGGACAAGGAACGGAGTCTGAACGTGACTGAACTGCACCTGAAGGATTCGAAGGGAGAGGTTGGAGAGACCTGTAAACTTGTGTCTGAACTGATTGACACGGGTTCAGATCTGGAGATACTGACCGTCAAGAAGCTGATTACTGGGCGTCTGAACCGTCTGAACTCACTCCCGGTTGATCCGAAGTCCAAGATCAACGATTTCCTGAGGTTCAGTCCCGAGGAGAAAGCGGACGTCATCAACGACTTCCAGATGTACGGCAAGGTGGTGTCTCGACAAGTGACCGCTGCCCAGTCGACAGTCGACGGTGATGGTAAGTCGTGTTTAGATTAGATAATGATACATGTCCACAGTGGTTATATGCCACAATGAATCATTGGCTGTGTAGTTCAACGAATCACTGGTTCTCTCGACAACATATATCTAATTGTCTAGTTTAACGAATCATTGTCTGTCCTGTACAAGGAGCCATTGATGGTCTGGTTAGGGAATCATTGGCCATATAGTTAAACGAATCACTGTCTGTTCATGTTCAACGAATCAATATAGTTCACAGAATCATTGGCCGTATAGTAGACTAAGGCTTAGTCTCTGAATATATATAATTTTGATAGTAACAAACAAGCCCATTTATATTGAAAAGGAGCCCTAGGGAGACCAGAGATTCAGAACCTGAGGAAATCTAGACTTGCTTTATTTAGGGCTGTAGCACTGCAGAGAGGGCTTGGCAGTAGGGAAATTAATGTGGTTCAGGGACTGAGACAGACTAGCCGTATAGTTCAACTAATCACTGGCCGTATAGTCCAGTGAATCATTGGCCGTATAATTCAACGAATCATGGTTGTCTTGTTGTCTTGATCATAGAAAGTAGAATTCAGTGACTAGTTGGGTTAGTAGCTTACTGTACCATTGTTTGTGTAATGTATTGAATCGTATAGTTTAAATAATCGTTGGCTGCACAGTTCACCGGTTAATTGCTCGTAAAGTTGATGACTTGTATACTTCAAGAAATGATTGGTTGTACAATTTAAGGGATGACTGGTCGTACAGTTCTACAAATCATTTTCTGATAAGTTCAACGAACAATTGATTGTATAGGTCGTACAATTCAGTTGGGCAGGTAATCTTTTCGTGTTGTCTTTTCTAACATAAGACGCGGATCCATGCTTTTTGAAGCCAATGCTATTGGCCAATACCGCGTGCTTGTATATTGCATATATTGCTGATATTTTCTTCTGGTGTATTTTGAGACGCCCTCACCTTTCTTTATTTTCTTACTCGTATATTTCGTCAGTTGCCACATAAGATAAACACAACAAGCCTTTACACAAGGACCTAATATCAACACTCCTCGCTTACGCACACCGGGGTCTTCACCACAGCTATGCAACATCTCACTGTACAGTACGTCTAGGGTAAAGGAACATATGGAATATTATGACAAGAGGTCGACACGGTCTCCCTGGTTATTAAGCAGGGGAAGGTGATGGTAGGGGATGGAGGGTGGATACGGAGGGGGCATCGCGGTCCATACTTGGTGTGAGACTGATTTATATATTGCCCTTCCCCATGAGGAAGTTTAGCATGAGTTGTTGTTTTTGTATAACGCCGCACTCAGTAATATTCCAGCTATGGTAGCGGCCTGTAAATAATCGCGTCTGGACCAGACAATCCGGTGATCAATATCAGAAGAATCGATCTACGCAATTGTGATACGATGACATGTGTCAACCAAGTCAGCAAGCCTGACCACCCGATCCCGTTAGTCGCCTCTTACGACAAGCATGGGTTGCTGATGACTAATTTTCACTTCTAAGCTATCTGTAAAGTCATATCACATGTTTTGTAATCAACATCACAACGCTTTAATATTTTAATGAACTGATAGAACACCCAGGTAATCAACAAGCATCTGTAGATTTCAGTTTCACACATGCAACTCGCACACCTGGCTGTTCTACCAGTAAGTGGTCGCCTCTCGCCAAAAACAAATAGCGAAAAGTGACAACAAAATAATGATCGTTTGTTAAACAACTTTTTATTCGGGTGTCCAAAATTATCAGACAAATCATCAGAGTTGGTCTGCCGATTTCATGTGACTGTGCAAAATTTGGTTTTGTTGCAATTATTAGATTTTGTGTTTGTGAGCAATTCATCGGTCTCAAATGAAATCAAACGGACTTTACCCATGTGGAGAATCGAACCCGGGTCTTCGGCGTGATGAGCGAACGCTTTAACCACTAGGCTACCCCATCGGCCACCAACATTACACATGCGCATAACACACATACGCACGCAAGCACGAACTCGCGCATGCACAAGGAGTGTGCTCTTGTTGCTGTCATGTATTGGGTTTGGTAATCGTTATTGAAACTGTCAGTGTTCGATGAGGCGCAACTAACCCAGTCCCCAAGCAACAATGAGCTGGACCGCCTGTAAAGATCTGGCGCGCCATTGATAGTGGCCCTATAAACAACAAACACACAAATATATGCTAAGCTTCCGTTACTTGGGGACAACGTTACCAAGAAATCCCCACGAGGAATTAACAAAAATCCTCAAGGGTCCTCCGTAAATATGGACAGTAAATCTGGATCGGATGACTAGTTTGCGAGCTGAGTCGACCGAATCTGGACCAAAACAAAGCCATAATGGAGAATGGGTCCAGGGTCTTTATCGTGATAGAAAGGGGGCGGTGGGGTAGTCTAGTAGTTAAAGCGTTGGCTCGTCACGCTGAAGACCCGGGTTCGATTCCCCACATAGGTACAATTTGTAAAGCCCTTTTCTGGTGTCCCCTGTGAAATTGATGGAATATTGCTAAAAGCGGCGTAAAACCTTACTCATTCACTCATGATAGAAAGGATATATGATACACTGGATAATGTCCCTGTAAATATAGACCTTCTTTAATGTGATTAGTCGTGGCGTCTGGACGAACACGGTCCGGATTGCTGAGGTCTCATTATATACAAATAGGTACATACTTGTGCTAGATCAGATGTCTTGTAATAATAACGACCGTGTAGGTTACACTTCTTCAGACACACACTGTTTCCATAATTAGGGATTTCAAACAGCATGTGCCCGCAGATGAGCACAGTTTTTTTAAGTTTGGAGAAATTGTTAGGATTTTAGAATTAAATGAAATTCGCATATTGTAAATTAGTTCATTTGCAGAGTACAACCTTGCAGCGTACAATTATGGTTTTCGGTTTTGCAACACAGAACGAACCGAACCACTTGTGAAACAAGCTAATGCACATTCACCTGGAATGCTGACCTCGCACAAGAGTGGTCTATTTTCGTGCACGTGCGTGTACTTATGCCTATTTCAGATGCACGTAATTGCTCCCTCGCCATAACCTCCCCTAAGTTGTTGCATGCCGAGTCTCACACACACGCGCCCCCAGAACAACCGTGGGATGAACTTTCACACAGGAATACACGGCTTAATTAGCTATAAAAGAATATCATGAAGGCAGACGGTGCAAATATTATGTGCATTTATAACGGTACTTTGTGCATTTAGCGGTATGGGTGCGATGTAGCAATGTGTGTTGAATAGGGAAATTAGGAATCGTGTGTGGGTAAAAAGCTCTGTTGACGTACATAGCTCTCTTCATTCTGTGTAAAGGAAATAACTCTCCGACTTTTAGCTGCTCATTAGCTGGAGTGAATCGATATGATGGCTAACGTAAAGTTCTAAGCGTGACGAGAGACTGGGCTACCGTCTGTAAAGGCAGCCAAAAAGCGAGTGAGTGAGTTTAGTTTTACGCCGCTTTTAGCAATATTCTAGCAATATCACGGTGGGGACACCATGAATGGGCTTCACTCATTATATCCACGTGGGGAATAGAACCCGGGTCTTCGGTGTGAGGAGCGAACACTTTAACCACTAGGCTACCCCACAGCCCCTACAGCCGAAATAGACTTTGAAGCAATATCTAAATGCATGTTTGTATGAGTGAGCGAGTGAGTGAGTTGAGATTACGTCGCATCGGCATTATATTTCAGCCATATGGCGACCATCATTAACCCAAAGTCACACTCAAAAGCAAGTTTCCATATACACAATACAACATCCCAATACTTTTAAGAATTTGAAAAATGGGCTTCTTACAATATTTACAATTCAGAACACGAGCAACAAGCCTACATTGTAAGAACAAGCATGGTGAATACATCCAAGAAAGCCCATGCAAGTCTAGAAAATGTGGCAAGTCTAGATTTCCTGTCACATCCACTTGTCATATCTTCAGGAAATGAACAACACAGCGGTTATCAGGAAGGAAAGAATCTTTCAGCAGTAATTGGTGAGAATTTCAAGAAATTATCAAGAAATTATCGCTTTGTGGATTTGGTTGTCTCTGAAAATGAAGAAAATCTCTGGGCTCCTTTCCATTAAAATGTTATTATTATTTTTCATGAACAGTTTTTCTTCTGTAAAATATGTACATTTCAGAGTCAAATATATATCTATAGTTAATGATACGACCATAGATGGGTTTCGTGACCCTTGGGGATTTTTGTTAATTCCTCGTGGGGATTTCTTGGTAAGGTTGTCCCCAAGTAACGGAAGCTTAGCATATATTTGTTTGTTTGTTGCTTATAGGGCCACTATCAATGGCGCGCCAGATCTTTACAGGCGGTCCAGCTTTTGTTGACTCGGGGACTGGGTTAGTTGCGCCTCATCGAACACTGACAGTTTCAATAACGATTACCAAACCCAATACATGACAGCAACAAGAGCACACTCCTTGTGCATGCGCGAGTTCGTGCTTGCGTGCGTATGTGTGTTATGCGCATGTGTTATGTTGGTGGCCGATGGGGTAGGCTAGTGGTTAAAGCGTTCACTCGTCACACCGAAGACCGGGTTCTACTCCTCACATGGACACGGCAGTCCTAGGGTTCCGAAAGCTTTGTATACTGGCCCCTGGACAATCAAATATCAACTAAAAGTGTATAATCCTTAAGGCGGCATTTTAACATGTTCACAGACCAACGTGTGTAGACAAAACGCGTTCAGTTCCCCGTTATATTGTGAAACTTTAAAGACAACAGAGTGTACAGAATGAGTTGATACAAAGTATCAGCGTCGGTTATGTCAATTCGCTGGAACACGATGCAAGCAGGCTATCTGCGGGTGTGTTTTACTTACTTAGCGAGCACCAGAGTACTGATGACTTTATACCCTTGAACAATAACTATTTGTTTGTTTGTGGAAACAAAATTGTTCTGTTTGTTTGTTTGTTAAACGCTCCCTCAGCCGCGGGAGTATACCAGGTCAAAGGTGAGGAGAGGCCGCGCGCATCT